TGGTTTCAGAGTCAAATATTCAGGCAGTGACACCATATTCATTGAGCTTGTGAAGAAGGATCGCCCTCGAGATATTTAAAGCCACAGCTTGGGAATATCAGGTGCTGTAAGCTTGGATGTGAAAATGGTATAATGGATAAATACCCTTGGAAACGTATGAAACCACCTGATGGAACCAAGGAATGAAGTTCTTCCGAGCACTTTCCATGAAAGTAGCGATAGAGCAACGAGAGGTTTGCCACATCCAGAGAGAGGTTGGAGGGTGTTTCCCCCAGCGTTTGGGGAGAGTCCTTTTTCTCACGAAGATGTACCCTGATCTTTCCACGGCCCTTTTGTGATCTCATGAACCTGACCGATGTCTTAATCAGTAGAACCAGCTTTCAGTCTCTAGGTCTATATGGGAATGTCAATTTTTGGTTCCATTACTGTACACCAATGGAACAGATCCGTACAGATTCGATAAGTTCTGCCTGAATTTCTGGAATAAGGAGTTAACATTATTTTAATAATGAAATTTAGCGTATCGCTTACTACACATCCAGCGACAGCATCATGACTATAATCTCGACTGCAGTCGACCTACAACTACGTTGATTTATCCTTATTACTACTATTACTACTGCTACTACTATGATGATGATGATGAGTGGTATCATCTTGCCAGTGAGTAATTTTTAATATTTTAACCTTATTTTGTTTTGTGATCATAATTTAATGATAGTTAATAAACAACGTTTGTTATGAAGAGACAAATTGCGAACAGGCTCACAGGGCGAGTTCGAAGCGATTTCTTTTGCTATGGGAAATTGTTCTATGTTTCTAGCATCGTCATCGTCATAATAAAAAAAAAATATATATATATATATCTAATTATGTGGGGTTCAAAGGAGTTTTGCTTTCCAAAACGTGATATTTACATCCTAGTCGTGTACCTTTAACCGGCAACACAAGGCCTCCTCACACCTAACTAAGAGGGTACAAGATAAAGTAATTTTTTTCAATGATCAAAGTTTTTTTCTCATTTTTTAATACGTCTTATAAGGCAGGAAATATCGCATTAATAATCATTTATTTATTTTTATACAGATGTTTTTTTTTCTTTTAAGAAAAACCAATCTTAAATTACATAAGTATTAATTTTAGTTGAACTAGAAAACTTAACATCCCAGTCACAGATCGCTTCAGAATGTAATTCTTTATGGTTGAAACACTTAGCAAAAGTTCCAAAAGATTCAAATTAACCACTTTCTTTAAAGATATTTTTTAAGAATTTGCCTCCAAGCGGGTTTCATTATTAATATTTCTTTTTTTTAACTTTCAATAAAAAAAAACAAAAAAAAACTTTTGTATTCTATCAATGTTAATGTTTTACGTTAGCAAAATATCTCAACAGCCAATTCAGAGCACTCATTTTTTAATTGTCTTGACTCGCTGTCGGAGTAAAAAGACCCGGGAACTTGCAAAAAATTTTACGAATTTCCTCAAATGTCTGCTCACAACTTTTACTCATGAGTACTGCTACGAAATTGCTTACAAAATGCTACTTTAACCACACTTATTAGAAACTAGTAGTAGAGCCCGGCGATGTAACAGTAAGAGATAGATCAAGTATCGACCATCATGAAGACTGAAAAATAAAATTGACAAAGATTATTGTTTAAGGTTGACGGACACGCATGTCTTAATTAGTTTTTTTTTTTTTTTCTTTTTTTTACGAATTGGTCAAACCCAAACTCAAACAAAAACATTGTTTTCAATCATTATGAGTCTACCGATTGAATAGAATTTTATTATAAACAATTGTCTTGTAAATGAATTTTTAAAGCATTCTGAATGTAAAAAAAAAAATCGGTTGCAAAAAATAAGAAAATACTCTGCCAAAATCCCATATATAAATTTTGTTGAAATCGGTTGAAAATATGAAACACACATACATAAAACACACACACACAAACAACCTGGGTTTTATAATAAGTATTACTCGATATGAGTTGTCCCCCTTTCATTCTCGCGATGTCTCCTAATTGTGTTTTCAAATTGATTTCGTGCAAAAATAATTGTTTTTCCAATTTTTGGCGCTGTCAGAACCACCGCAAGGTAGTTTTACGTAGTCCTGTGAAGTTTTGTTGAAATCGGTTGAAAAATGTAGGAAATCCGATCCAATATATAAACGTACAGACACACACACACACAACCTGGGTTTTATAATAAGTATGATATAGCCACATTGTTTTTTTTCCATACTAAAGCTAATTTACGTCTTAGAAGTTATGAGATTAATTAGGCTAGACGATAATTGGCCCTTAACTTGAAAAGATTGTGTAGTGTGCAGGTAAATATATCCCTATTGCAGACGCTTGCTCAGGTGCATTTGTGTTTATTCAACACCCACAGAGCCCACCTGTGGGTTATACTGCAACTATGCTAAGCTAGTTACAGTTTCTGGGAAAAAGTATGTTATCTAGCGTGATCAACAATTTGAACAAGGCCAGCACGCTCAAGCCCTCGGCCACGATGTCTTGTGACTTCCTGCTCGCATAGCTATCGACGGCCCCCAAGGATTTCACAAGGCTTGGGTCAACCCATGGTGTGGTTTTCAGGCGCTTTCCAAAGGTGCCGCACGCTGGGATTGACCCCCTTCAATCCGATAAGTTTCCTTCTTGACAAATCGACCATGGTGAGATTCGAACCGGGGTCTCATGGTCAAAATGCGAACGTTCTAAACACTCGGCTATAACCTACCATTACATCTAGCTATTTCGGTACCAGGGAGGAGAGTTAATCAGAACAACTGCCATGAAAATATTTATAGAAAAGACAGAGGGAAGCCACGACACAAAGGTGGGAATAGCGAATGATGCTAGGTCAAGACTGGCAACATTACAGACCCGCCTTTGGATTTTGTTGAGAATCTCGATATATATATATATATATATATATATAGAGAGAGAGAGAGAGAGAGGCGGGGCGGGGCGGTAGACCAGAGATGGCGGCAATATTTAATGCATAAATGAATGATAGATTTCTTTAATGTGCAAGATGGATTCTGACGAGATAAAATTGTCTGTTACAACTTTCCTAGCAGCAGACATTAAGTCAATTCAATGCAATCACCCCACTTTAGTCAGTGGAAAACGTGAAAGCAAGAAAGCGTAATGAGTTCATCTTCTGGGGGTTAGCATCAGCCATGTTAATGAAAGTCAAAAATGGTTCTCTATGATGATTAAGATATAGCAGCTTTGTTTTGAGAGGCGTTAAGGTTTACAAGTCATTTCTTGCCCCAGTTAACAACTGACTGGAGGTCATTTCCGAGAGCCTCTTCCAGTTTTACTTTGTCGAGCAAGTTTTACTACAGTGTAACCCGGATATAAGAGACCCGGATATAAGAGAAACCCGGATATAAGAGAAACCCGGATATAAGAGAGATTTTCTCTGGTCCCAAATTAGAGCCTGTGTTAATGTATATAAAAGAGACCAAACCCGGATAAAGGAGAAACCTGGATATAAGAGACTTCTTCTCCGGTCCCGACAACTCTCTTATATCCGGGTTACACTGTAAATAGCTGTGTCATCAGCAAAAATACAGAATTGCGAACTGATGACATAGAGAGGGTCGTTGATGAAGATAAGAAACAACGTAGGTCGAAAGATACAGCTCTGGTGGACACCAGCATTATTTTAAAATGATCTAGAAGCGTGGTCATTCAAGATGACCTACATTAAACGAGATGTTAAGAATGATTGGTTTCAGAGTCAAATATTCAGGCAGTGACACCATATTCATTGAGCTTGAGAAGAAGGATCGCCTTCGAGATATTTACAGCCACAGCTCGCGCTTCGCTGTTTTTCTGAGTAGAAATTCCCCCTTACGAACGAAAGAAAGAGCGAAAGAAAGAACGAAAGAGGGAAAGAAAGAACGAACGAACGAAAGAAAGAGCGAAAGAAAGAACGAACGAAAGAACGAAAGAGCGAAAGAACGAAAGAAAGAAAGAGCGAAAGAAAGAAAGAGCGAAAGAAAGAAAGAGCGAAAGAAAGGTTAAGGTGAACAAAATAAAGAAAGAATGCTAGTAAGTGAGAAAAAGTGAGATACACAGATAGATAGCTATGGGCAAATGTAAAAGGGAAAAACATAACGGAATTAACAGATGAGAAATAAAGAAAGAAAAGTTAACGTAAGCAGATGAAAGAATGGGGATTTTCTAAGCGTAGCTTAGATGTGGCACAAGGCCGAAATTATGGGGCACTCACTACTCAGTCGTAATTGTTCTAGCGAGACGAGCTTTCTAACCATTACACCACACCGAGGTGCCCAAATGATTTTTAAGGCCGAAATTATGAAGCGCCAAGTGAGGATCGAACTCACTACTAAGCCGTAATGGATCATGCGAAACATGCTTGTTAACCATTACAACACCTCGAAGTTCCCAAGCAGATGAAAGAATGATAGAATATGATAAAAAGAAAGCAAGGAAAAAGCAAGAAAAAAAAAAAAACAAAGAAAGGAAAGTTAATGTAAACAGATGAAAGAAAGCATGTTTGAATGTGATAAAAACTTGGAAAGAAAGAAAGAAAGAAAGAAAAATGATAAGAAGAATAAAAAAAAAAGAATGAAAATGAAAATCAATATAAAAAGTAAGACAGAACAAAAAAAAAAGGAAAGTGGAGGTAAAATAAAGAAAGAAAGAATGAGAGAAAATAAGAAAACTTGAAAAGAATGAAAGAAAGAAAAACGGTAAAGAAAAACTATAACTAACAGTGATGCCCGACTTTCTTACTTAAACACTCCACGTCATTCCTTTTCTTTTTCTTCGATCTTTATCAAATCATATTGTTTTGTTGTTTTCTTTTATCACAAAATCATCTTGGAAATGCCGCTTTATGATAAAGAATGGTATTCTCTTCTATCGTAGAAATTCTACCTGAGCACAAATCTGTAGATTAAAAAAAAATAATCGATTGATTATTCTACCTTATTTGATTGGATTTCCCAATGTCTAATCATGGACTTCGTGGCTGAGGTAACTAACTACCAATGGACTCAAGTCACGCCGGCCCTAGAGGCCGGTATTCAAACATGGAGAATACTCAGGAAATTTTTATTAGATAAGCAGGATCTCTCATCACTTTGGAGAATGGAGCAATACTATCCTCCTACGATAGAGAGATAGATATAGAGAGATAGAGATAGAGATAGATATATATATATATATATATAGAGAGAGAGATATATATAGAGAGATAGAGATAGATAGATATAGATAGATATAGAGAGAGATAGATAAATAAAGACTTACTAACTTACTTACCCACCTTGTCTTCTCCACCCATTCTTGATTTTCTCCGATTCTCCTGACCTCTTTCTCCATTCTGTCTTAGCTCATCTACTTGCCTTTCTCTTTCTCTCTCTCCTTCTTTATCTCCCACCTATGTCTTCTCTGTCGTTACCTTTCTCTGTATTTCTTCCTTTTTCTTCACCCTCTCCCTCTACTCTCTCAAACCAGATTATCGCCTTTCCCTCTCTTTTTCTTCCTATCTCTTCCTTTCTACTCGTCTCTCTCACTTTCCAGCCACACCATCTTCCTCACGCCATGCGCCTTTCTCTTCTTTCCCTCTTTCTCTTCCCACCTCTCTCCTCTTCGTGTCTGAACCCAGCTTATGCATCATTCTCTTTTTTCTCTTCTCCTTATCTTATCCTTTTTTCTTCCTATCACTTCCTCTCTACTAATCTATCTCCCCTTCTCCCTTACTTCGTCTTTCCCTCCGTCCATCTTTCTCTCCTTTTCCTCTATTTTCTTCTCTCAACTCAGCTTAGTCTCCATTCTTCTCTCTTCTCATTATGTCGCCCTCTTTTTTTTTCTCATCTCTTCCTCTTCTCATCTCTGTGCCTTAACCAGGTATTGAACTCGCACTCTTTTGGTCCTGTCACGGGATCTAACTAACGTCTTTATCCACTGTGCCATGTGTCCTTATGACGGTTCAGCAAGGTTTTTTTTTACCCATTCCAAAAACGCACAGCCACTCGAAAGCTTATATTTGCCATGGTTAAAGAGCCCAGATTGCTCTTCTATCAGACCCAGAGCTAGGGGAGAGAACAACCGGATCCATGCCTTATTCATTACGTTGTGTGAAAAAGTGAAAGCGATAGGCTGGCCCTGAATTTGAACTCGACTCGCCGTTTCCTTATTCAATGCTTATTATTGTAATTGGTGGCGCGATTACTCATTTCTCTTTCACCCCATCTTTCCCCCTGTACACCTTTCTCCCCTTTTCTCTCTCCTCTTCGTCTCTGAGCGCAGCTTAGCCTCAATTTTCCTCTCTCTTCTCTTTATGTCGCCCTCCTTTTCTTCCTATCTCTTCCTCTCTACTCATCATAGTTCCCCTTCTCTCTCACCCCATCTTTCTCCCTGTGCACCTATTTCTCCTCCTTTTTTATCTTTCTCTTTTCTTCTCTCCTCTTCGACTCTGAATCCATCTTATTCTCTTATTTAGTTCTCCCCATCTCTTTTCCCACTCCCTGATATTAGAAATCGAGTATGGCGGCCAAGTGATAAGATCTAGAATTTAAATGAGGGAACCCTGTTACAAATACAACCACTTTCTTGGCATTAATACTTATTAAACTTATGACGCGGAACCAAATAGTAAGAATGAGACTTAGGAAGATTGCACCAACATCTAACTGATATCTTCATGGATAATCGGATTTCGAATTTCTGGTTTCATATCGGAACTTGAATCCTCGACCGTTAACGCCAATTGCAAATGTGCAGCAATTACCCTACACGAGACAGACCCTTTTAATCCGAATTCAGGCTTGCAAGGACTGACAAAATACTGAGACGGTGATGTGGATGTGAATAGACTTGTTGTCACTTGATCTTCATCAATGTCTAAACTCTAGCGTAAAGAAAGAATAATGATTATTATTATTATTACCGAAGCAAAAACCTTTGTTTCATTATCGTTTTTGCAGAGATTCTGAGCCAGACGTTCAATTACTTTTAATGGTATTCACTTACTCACCTTTCTGATGCATTAATACCGAATCCCTTTACTTGATTAAGGCTGTAGATGACATTAAGATACAACTTATACTTGAATGCCGTCTCAAATCACGCCACCAATTACGCTAATAATCATCACTGAATCGCGCCACCAATTACAATAATAAGCATTGAATAAGGAATCGGCGAGTCGAGTTCAAATTCAGGGCCAGCCTATCGCTTTCACTTTTTCACACAATGAAAAAGGCATGGATCCGGTTGTTCTCTCCCCTAGCTCTGGGTCTGATAGAAGAGCAATCTGGGCTCTTTAACCATAGCAAATATAAGCTTTCGAGCGGCTGTGCGTTTTTGGAATGGGTAACTGAAACCTTGCTGAACCGTCATAAGGACACATGGCACAGTGGATAAAGACGTTAGTTAGATCCCATGACAGGACCAAAAGAGTGCGAGTTCAATACCTGGTTAAGGCAGTGGAGAACTTGGAGAGGGAATTAACAGGAGATAACTGACATCCATTAGACATGGCACGTGGAAAAAGAGTGCGAAAAACATCTAAAAAGATATTTTCCTAGGATTTTCTAAAAAAGAGAGACGTTTGTAAACAAACCCTGAAAGGTTCATCAAAATCCGACTATATACGCTAAAATTTGCTATGCTAATTTATAATAAACCCGCTGACGCAAGAAAAACAAGATTTTAATCAAAATTTCGAAAGGATTGAAAATTTTTATTAAAATATTCAAAAATACTTTCTTTCCTTTTAATAATAACATTAACGGTTTTTACGATAAAAAAAATTGTTTTTGTGACGTTTGGAATATTTTCTCATCACGGTGTGCTAATTTTTAGCGATTTTGGGGAGGTTCTTATTTTTATGTTTTATCTAGCAGTAAATACAGACCCACAAAAATTCAACAAAACAGACAAAAAAAAAAAACTTAAAAAATGAAAGCAAATCCTGGAGTAGAATATCATCCTACTATACCAACACTATACGGCTTCCCCCACCCCCAATACACATAGTGTCCGGTAGGACCAGTTCAAGGTATTGGCAACTCGGGCAGTCGTTCGGGCGCCTTCATACCGCCATATCAGGTATTTTCCAAAACTAAAGCTTATGAAAACATACTGCCGTCCATTACTCAAGACATTAAATTCGTTGGCTATTTTGTCAATAGAAAATGATCTTGTAAAGAAGAGGAGTATAGAAAGTGCCATGAAAAGATTTGAAGATCTAAAGGCGAGAAAATATGTTTTAGGCGGGATAATAAATATTTTCTTTAGTTTGTATTAAGTTGTATATTGTAATAGACTCGTTATTCTACATTTTCAGTTTTCTCCTCATGAAAATTTGAAAAAAATTATACTTGTAAGGTTGCCGTCACTGGTGTCTGGCATCAACAGTGCACCCTATATGTCATTCTCTGATGAAGCTTAATAAAAGTGAAACCTGTTAAAATTGATAAACGTTTTCTATTCAAGTTACACACACAACACACACACATATATATATATATATATATATATATATATATATATATATATATATATATATATATCTTTGATAAATTCTCAACTTATTCAAGATGATCTCCGTCCTCTCTATCCTTGTAACTGTGTCTTGGTGTAACAATTTTCCTCGCAGATTTCACTTACGATTTAATTTTCAAGTCTTTTTCACTGCTCTTTGAACTGTCATAACTGAAACTCCTCTCTCACGTGCCAAACGCCCTATAAATTGAGTCGGATCTTTTCTAATTGATCTCTTTAGCTCTAAGTTGAAATGGACATCCCTCTTCCCATTGTGGCCTCCTGATCCAGTTTTTCTCTCTCTTGATGGTCCTTGAATGGATTTTGAAGATGGAAGCCAGAGTATGAATGTTAGTACCATTACTGAAGGCCTTGATGATCTTTTTCGTCTCACCATTGCTCAGTTGAGAAGACAGTGGGGCCGACACAAAACGATTTGAACCTGTTCTCGTTCTAGCTGAATAACCCCAAAAGGTTTTTCAGTGATTCTTACGACAAACGGTTTCAAGATGTCTAAACATCTTATCTGAAAACCTGGAAAAAAAAAGTCAATTAGTTAGTTTGGTGCTTTTTTACATATTAAACATTTTATAGGATGGAAAATTATGTTGTTACACCAGGTCTTATATATATATATATATATATATATATATATATATATATACACACACACACATTTATAGGATTGGTGTATACGGAATAAAAATCCAATAACCCATTTACTATTCTTAAAATAGTGCTCAATATATAGTATATATATATATATAATTATTTATTTAAAAATTCTAACATAAATATGTTATAAAATCACTACAAAAATAACCATTTTGTTTCAACACCTCCGGTGTCTTATCAAGTGATGATGTTGGATGTAGAATAAATGGTTTTAAAAGTTTCAAATTAATTAACGATCCTTCGCAAGGGGAAAACGCTGTTATATAAGCTAGAATGACCAATCAAAACAAGTATAAGAAAATTCAAAAAAACTTGACAACGACGTAAGGTTATAATAGATATTAAGAGCTTTAAAGTTGGGGTTATACTAAAATAGAATTTATTCTAACAAATAAGTATTAAATTATATGATAAAATTTGATATTAAAATTAAAAATAAAAAATTACCAATTTTAAAATCTAAATTTAATCTATTAAGTTTAAAATTATAAAATTACTGAGGAGAAAAGAAAAAATACATGTTATTCAATTTATTTTTTCATTGAAATTAAGTTAGAATAGACACTAATATCGGCTGGTCTTCCTGACAAAATATATACATTTTAATTCCAAGTGTGTGAGTGGGGTGCTAACCTGTCGTGTAAAACAATACAAACACACTCAGATTATAATACATAAGCATCCAGACATATTTAGATAATATACACACACACACAAAAACGTGACGAAACAGGAGAATATATATATATATATATATATAATTAATATTAATGATAACCACAATGTTACGTACACAACATAAGCATTGAGAACGGAAGTGAAAAAACTATATTCTGGGTTCAGTGGGAGGGACAAGTGATAACGCTAGAGCGAATAAACTAGACAGACTTAACTCATACAAGTTATCTCCCTTAGTATCGACAATGGAATGAGAATAATATATCCCCGTGGATTCAATGAAAAATTCGCTTCTAACCGGTAACCAAAAATAAAATATTGTTTAAAAAATAAACCGAGCATCTACACAAATATGTCTAGCCACTAAAAATGACGTTTTAAGTGATATACGAGGTCTTTCTTAAAATTAACGGGACTGGTATATATATATATAAAAATTTTTTTTTTTTTTTTTAAAGCCAAACAAACTACATGGATTTCCATTAAATCCCTCCAGTCTAATGCATGATTCCATCCTTCTCTGCCTGTGCACCATACACTGTGGGAAGGATTCTTCATGCTGGCCTTCAGCTCCCGCCCTCTTGATAGCTTCCGCGCCTACTAAACGGCCCCACTTGATGATCCATTTGAATTTGGGTAAAACACGGAGGAAAATCAGGAGAATAGATGCTGTTCAAAAAACCGGATGCTCAGGACATTTTGAACATTGCATTGACGTGTGAGATCTTTGATTTGTTTTCTTCTGGCGCACTATGGGGAGCAAACATATTAAAGGATCTCTTTGCAGACGATTTTTCACATCCTTTTGAACTATTACCGTCATATTTCAGACGTCCTTTTTGATTATATAATATTTTAATATAAGTATATAATATTTATAATATATACATAATATTATATATATATAAATAAATATAATGTATTATTATGGATAATATATATATGATATATATATTTTATATATTATTGGGAACTATAAAATATTAAAATGTTATATCATATATATATATATATATATTAGAAGATATATAAATATATATTCCATGATAAATAATGCAACAAAGATATTATATAATATATATGGGAGAATGCACACTTGTTTAAAAATATATGATATTTTTATAATTATATTCAATGATATTTCGTTATATAAATATATATATATATTTATATATATATATATTTATATGTTATATATATAATATTTGGGCAAATATATATATATATATAGGATATATATATATATTTATATATATATTAATGCAATATTTTAATTATATATATATATATATATATATATATTAATATATATTTGTGGGATATATAATACAAAATACCGGCATATATATATATATATTATATATAATATATATATAATCATATATAATATATATATATATATAATATATATAATATATTTATATATATATATATATATGTTAATATATTATATATATTTATATATTATATATGCTGAAATATATATCGCTTATACGTAATATAAAAATTATAACCAACTAAAATTAACCAAATATATATAAATATGATTTTAGCTTAAATAATCCTACAACACCATGTGTTTGTAATAAAATTTTTCACATGAGGGCAAACATCTTTAAAGTATAATTTTTGAATGGCAAATTATAATTATACCCTGAGAAGTCCCAAGAG